TCTCTCTCTCTCTCTCTCTCTCTCTCTCTCTCTCTCTCTTTTTTTACTTTTTCTCTTTATCAAAGCAATGAGTTCAATGGACCATTGATTAGAACCTCTAAAACCGTGAGCCAGAATAAACCTTTCTCTCTCTCTCTCTCTCTCTCTCTTTTTTTTTTTTACTTTTTCTCTTTATCAAAGCAATGAGTTCAATAGACCATTGACTGGAAACTCTAAAACCGTGAGCCAGAATAAACCTTTCTCTTTTTTTTTTTACTTTTTCTCTTTATAAGCTGATTCTCTCAGGTAGTTTGCTATAGTGACAGCTAATTAACACATGAGATGATATAAATAAAGCACTAGCATATTGCCTATTCAATAAACCTGAGATATGATTAGTCTTCAGCAGTGCTTTGCAGGAATTCCTTCCCTAGTGCAGCTTTTCATGAGAGACCTGGAAGAGCTTCCAGAATCAGAGGCACCATGAGATGCAGAAGATTGCTTGGTGCACTTCCCAGACCTCCTCTCAGGAGTGTGGGGGGAGGAAAGGAGGAAAGAGCATCATGTGGGCTTGGGTATTGAGGGCTTATACAAAAATCATGGGAAGAGATATGGATCCAGTTGGGAAACAGTTACCATTTTATTTCTTGACATAACAACTTGATTCCAGAGCCCTTCCAACTGTTCTAAGACAGGTGACAGGGCAAATCTCAGGGCAAGGTTCAGAGAGGAAGGGTGGCTTTCTAGACCCTGCCAGGGTGATGTCACCCAGGTGGTGGGTGAAGGCCAGGCATTGTTACCCGGGTGTTCCATTATTCTGGCGGTACCTACATCTGCATTTACACCCTTGGGTCCTACCTACCCCCTCAGTTTCCCTTCTTGAAATGTGAAATAAGAGGAGCCCAGTGATTTGATGGTAAAGACATAGTCATCTTTTTCTTTATTAAAATACCAAAACGTAAATGTACACAAAGAGCAACTAATTTGAATATATTGTTAAAATAACTTGTGGTCACACCAATCACACAGTGCAGTTCGCAGGTCAGTTCTCACTGCGCCAGCTCTCCCTTCCCCTCTAATCCACTGCTGTCCATGGCAGTCTACAATGGTCTTGGGTCTCATGGCGCCTGGCAGTGCAACTCTGCTGTGGTCAGAGGGTTAATGCAGGGTGCCTCAGCCTCCCTGTCACAGAAACACAAGAGCCAACACCCACAACGAACGGAGGAAAAATTTACGTGAGCTCCTGGTTCCAAGGGATTCAGACTATGGTTGCCTGGCTCTCGGAGAGAAAAACCCTGGCAGAAGGGTGCGGCAGGGCAAAGATGGTCAGTGCGTGGCAGCAGGGCAGCAGGCAGGGGCCCAGTGCCAGGAGGCAGGGGCCAGGCAGCAGATACAGCCCCTAACCTCCTGCCTTGGTGACCCACCCAGGCACACCTGGAAGTGTGCTTTCCTAATCCCCTGGGTAGCTCCAAGCAGACCAGGTTGACATAAGCAAAGCTTAACCACCAGAATGGGACATCTGCCTCCACCAAGATAAAGAACATAGGTTACATAAAGAATGGCGCAGGCTGCTAGCATCAGGCGACTCTTTGCAGATGAGGAATAGCCCCTGATGTGCAAGGGAAGAAGCCAAATTAGCCTGCGTCGTGTGCTCACTTAAAGAAGCTATCCATGAGTTCAGAGAAGTGGGCAGGCCTCCCAGGTGGATGGATGCTGCCTGTAAGGAAGTCGGTGTCTGCAGAACAGCATGGTGAAGGGCAGAGGCGGCAGCTTTCACCTCTGACCTGGGAGTGGTGCCAGGCAGTGAGAGAGCCTGCTTCTATTCCAGACCTGGGGCTCATTTGGCCTGGGAAGTCCAGAAAGCTAAGCAGAATACCTTTCTTGGAACTACCACATCTCCCTTGCCCCAGATTGTCTTTCTCTTGCCCCTGACTACTTTCCTGTTCTTTTGTGATACCTGAGATCCATTTGTAACAATGAGACACACATTTGGATGTCACCTGTAACCCAAGCAGACGACTCCTTCCAAGGAGCGCTGTGCCAGAAAGGGCGGTGTCAGAGGCGAGAGTGGAACAACAGGTGTTTTAGAGATTTGTGCCGTCAGGGAAACCCTGCAGTATTCAGTGATTCCCTTTGCACCTTAGCACCAAGCAGCTGACTTAAGGATATACTTGGTGCTGGGTTTCAGGGCTTGTCGATGAGAAGCTGAGCCTCCGGTATCACAGACTGAAGAAAAGAACTGAAAGTCAACGATCCTACTTTCTGATGCCCCAAGAAACAAAGGCTGACACCCCAAGATGTTCAGAGCAAATCTCCGGCAACACGGGAAAGGGACAGGTGGAGAGGGACTAGGCTTCCAGCACTCACAGATTGAGAAAAATAGAAGCCGACACAACACTGACATTTACCATATCTTGGTTCCAATATTTATTACATTGACAGGAATACCAGGATAAATAATATTTTCTCTTACAGAAAATTGTAATGACACTACTGCGTAGGATTAAACACTCTGAGGATTTCACAGAAATATCAGAATTTTAACAGACAGTAGGGAGTCTTGTGGCCAGTGCTAATGAGTGACTACACATGACTGCGAACACTCCGGGCCAGCTCCCCAACACAGCTCCAAGATAAAAAACAACACACGAGAGTCCAGTAACGCTAAAGCCTTGCCATCACTGGCTTCCATGCATGGCTCTACTCATTGGCTTCTGACCACCAGGAAAGGAGAACGGAATAGTCTTTGGCTCTTCTGGCCTAGAAATAACTCCTGACCTGAGTGGAGAGTCCTAAACTCTTGAAAACTGGACTTGCTTTCTGTTTTCTTCCTATGACACTGCAATTGAGTTTGCCACAGGACCTGTGGCCGTGCTCCCGACAGCTCCTTACCACCTGGGTGCCGGGGAAAGGAGTCTCATACTCCTGGCCCGCAGGATGGTTCTGCTGTCAGGGGCTGACAAGCTCTTCCAGCTACCTGAACACTCTCGTGAGACGCTGTCCAGGGTAACAGACCCCAGACCCTTAGACACCAGTCTGTGGGTAATCACAGAAAGGTTGCGCCAGTGTTGTGTGAAACAGACATCAAAAGAGCACAGCGCCTAGTTACGAATGCCTTGCACACAGTAATTCCCGAACACAACAGCATATCTGCTAGAAAGCACAGCCCTGGCCATCACACAAGTGGGCTGTGTGTCGCTCTCACTCCGTGTGCCCCACGGGTGACGCAGCTGCTGCGGAGGAGATGGCCCCACCCCGCCTACCCACGGTACAGACCCATCTGCATGAATCCTAACGGATGGGCAGGACCCTAATGAGGGGCCATTTGGACATCAAAGAATGGCCAGTATGTTAAGACCTAAATCCTGGAGTTGAGGCAATGGATGCTCTTGCCCTGGTCCAAAGAGGGAAGGCTCAGTGGAGTTGCCTTGATGGTTCTTGGCTGCTGGGATTCTAGAGGTGCACAGGAAGTCAGCTTTCCAATGGTTTCAGGGTTTTGGGTGGAAAAGGATTATTCGATGAGGACTCCCCAGTTGCCCCCACACCACGCCTGCCTAGCTCTGCAGGGTTCCTTCTTTTATCTGTTGGATAAACAGATTTCTCTCATCTTCTGGAGTCCGCCCATTCTGAGCCCGGACAATACACGTGGGCCGGTGCAGGTTGAGCATGTATATCAAATGCTGCTTTTCATTCTTCAGCTCCTCAATCTGTGCCTTCAGCTCGGCATTCACACTTTCCAGCTTCTCTGACTCCTGGGGGACAAGGGACAGAGGCATGAGGAAGGTACTGCTTTGGGGCCCACCCAGTGGGGGGACACCTGCAGAGGACTGATGTCCCCATAAAGGGGGGGGGTGCCGCACCAGGGAGGGAGGCGTGCAGCCCTGAGGCAGACTTTGAAGCTGGGCATCTCTTCAAAGAACTTCTGGAGATGCCATCAAGGAGGCTTTGATGCTACCAGGGCCAAAAGGGAGCAGGATCAACAGCTCAGCGAGGGGCCGGGGAGATGGCTTAGTAGAATAAGCGCTTCCCTGGCAAGCACACAGGCCTGAGTTTAATCTCCGGTTCCACCAAAATAAATAAATAAATAAATAAATAAATAAATAAATAAATAAATAAACAAACCAGCTCAGAGAGTGCTACCTGGGCGAAGCACTACACACAGGACACCAGTACCCAAAAGGCTGGGGAGAAATCCAGCTTCATGGTGCTGAGCCTTCAGGGAGTCATGGATCTCGCTGAGAAGCTCACCTTTCCAGGAAAAAAGGTCTCAGCAATGCACAAATTTCCTCATTTCTAGGGGGACCCCTGAAGCAATCAGCAGGGGCCTCAGGGCCCTGCGGCACCTGGGTTGGCACTGGGCTCTTGCTTGCTGGGGAAGCAATGTGGCCACTAGCAAGACACTGGGCTCCGAGGCCCACATGGGCTGCCCCCTAGTGTCCCTCAAAGAGCCGGGGGACATGGCTGCATGAGGCCGAAGACAGGAACCCAAAGAAAACTTGGCTTTCACATCCAGGAAATGATTTGTTTGAGGGTTCTTCATGCTGAGCCATGTGAGAGCTGGCAGTTTTCTCCTGGGAAAAGCTGGCAGGTGTAACCTCTTCCGCTGCACTGGCCTGGTGGTTGCGGGAAGTGCGCAGACCGGCCAGGGTTGCTGGGAGCCTGGCCATCACACGATTTTCATTCACACGCCTGCTTTTCCTACACCCGGCATCTGGTCCGCTGTGCTAACAGCGTGGCTACCTCCTCACTCTGCACCTGGCATTTCTGCTACCAACCCCAAGCAGGTAGGGGCTTTCAGCTCCCCTCTGTCAGCACCACGGGGCTGACGGGGCCAGGAGCAAGGGGCGCTGCAGCACTCACCTTCTGCAGGCACTCCGTCTTCTCCTTTTTCTTGTTTCGGCACTTAGCGGCTGCAATCTTATTTCTTTCCCGTCGCCTCTTTTTCCTTTCATCTTCTTCAGGGGCTACCTGTAAAATCCAAAAGGCTCACATTTAATGCTACCATGACACCTATTTCAAAATACACTGTCCTTTATTGCCAGCAAAATCTGGCAAAGCGGGGCAGTCTTACTGCTGAGAGACCCAGGAAACCAAAGCCCTAGACTTTCACATGATACCCCCTAACACAGGCACACACTTAGAATGAGTAACGAGAACCAATCGTGAAAGCGTGATCATGCTGGCAATATTAGTAAAGCAAAATCTTAACCTATTCTACAAATGGATTTGGACTTTGGATATTGATAATTATTGGGACCAACTGTAATCATTTTCGACAGGAAACAGACTTCAGTAAATATGTCACCCCCCTAAATGTGGCGTGACCCCAAGACCATCGCATGGCCACCCTCTCTGCCTGCCTCTTCTTGCATCCGAGGCCCAAGGGCAACTCTGCTGACTCTGTGTTCACACGAGACATTGTGGCACCAACATCCTGCATTTGCGAGACCCCTGTGGAGCTCCTAGAGAAGAGGGACTCGAATCCTTCTAACCACGGTGGCATAAATCAGCCACGGCTGGGTGCCACATGTGGTGGGGAACTGCAAGCATCCATTGACTGAGCCAATAAATCAGTACCAATCTTGAAGCCTATGCCTCAGCCTGAGGCAGCTTGGGGTTCCGGGAGAACAAAACCCTGCCTGGCTACTCTGGGACTTGGTCCCCGCGGTGACCCCTGGCTGTGTCTGAACTGAAGAGGAAATGGTACCTGGCCACCGGACTTGGCTTAGAGACTGAAGTCAAGCTGGAGTGGGACACTAAGCGAGCTGAGCGCCTGACAGCTTAGGCTGCCAGTGGCAGACCTTGTCATGTCACTTGTCCTTGCTCTGGACAGAGGAAAAGGTGTGAGATTCCTGGCAGCTTCTGGGGATTCCATAATCACCCCCTGCCACCCTGTTAATTCTTTCTCTATGTTATATGACACTGGCTTCGCCTGCACTGAGGTGGAGACCTTGCAATACAGAAGGGCAAAGCCCAAGGAGAAGTGGAAGAAGAAGGATTTCTACCTTCCCCATCTAGGTTTCAAAATGATATAGGGACACATGCAGACTGAGCTTTTACGATTTCAGCACTTACTCGCTGTAAGACATTGGGCCCCTTACTCTTCCGAGCCTCTGTTCCTCCTTTGTAAAAATAGGATCAGTAACACCTGTGTGGTTGCTCTGAGTATCAAGTAAGTTAATATAAATGCCTTGATGGTATTTAGCTCGTAGTGTACGCCGCACGAGCTTCAGCTACTACTGTTATTAACCACACCAACACTGTCTTTCTGAGGAATCAATAGTCTCGCATTCCGCATCTTGTACAGCAATCAATCACTAGGAAGAATGTATGCAATGTGTTAATTATTGAAACTGTCCTACCAATTTGATTTGAAACTGTCTCATTGCTATTTGTCTATCAATAAAATTATGGGAAAAAAATAGGATAGATATATAGTTACATTCTCTTAATGAATAGAGGGATTTGTTGTAATAGTGTTTGTAAATATGATATCATGTCTGCATCTTGCACAGCAAATACCCACTAGGAAGAGAGTATGTAATGTGTTAATTATTGAAACTGTCCTACCAATTTGATTTGAAACTGTCTCATTGCTATTTGTCTCTCAATAAAATTATGGAAAAAAAATAGTCTCGCATTTCCTTTGCAACTTTACAGATCTCCTGGGTGGGTGGTAAGGGTCCAGCTCTGAAGACAGAGATCTCAGGACCACGCACCACTTGGGTAGGAAAGGTTTTCTACAGACCAGGCTGGTCACCTCCCCACATTACTGGTGAAGAAGAGGGGCAGGCTGCAGAGTTGTGTGGTGCCCAGGGAAGCCTCAAGAATCAGCAGTTCAGTGTCATCAGAATAAGAGGCCACATGACCTGGACAGAAAGCCAGGAGCTTTGTTCCCTCCCTGTGCTGTCTCTCAGCCTCAGCTGCCTTGCTTTCCCATGTCAACTTCCCAGGGGGACTGGAATCTGGGAAGTGGGCTCCAGCTGCCCAGACACACAGGGTGCCTTCAAGGCTCAGGGTCTCTTGAAGATGAGAATTGGGGTACCAAGGGGATCAGAGATTCAACTAGATCTGTTAATCTGGTCGCTTCCCAGTGGGTAACTCTGTGACACTGACAGGATCAGGAAGTCATTTGGCAAACACAGAATCAGAACAGATGAGCTTTGTGGCTCTCTGGGGTGTTTTTGTCTGCCTCTGCCTCTCGAGAATCCTTCTAAATACTTTTTCTTTTCCTTTCCTTACCCTTCCCCTGCTTCCTTTCACGATATCTTATTATCTCAAAATATTTAATCAGGAAAGAAAATTCCCAGAGCGTCCTATGGTCCACCCTGTACTGTCTGGTACTGGACTAGGCACTGTGAACATTGTGTGGGCCTATGGGCAGCTTCCTCTGAGATTAATTTGGGGTACAGCTAATGCCTCTGATGATGCCAATGGCCACAGAATCATATAGTACCAGCTCCCATTTGTCAAATACCAGGTTCTTTGCAATATCGTTCATGAATCTCATCTCAGTTCACCCTCAGATGAGTTTTAAGGAGTAATTACAGAATCATAGAAATTATCAACCCACTTCTTTTTGTGTGTGTGTGTGGTGCCAGGTACATGCTCGGCAAGCATTCTACTGCTGAACCACACCCCTCGCCTCTGACTTTCTTTTACATTCACTTCCTTTGGAGGGGAAAAAAAAAAAACAAATTCTCTATCTATGGGTCAGTTCCACTCTCTCTTGCCCAAAGACTGCAATTATGCCAGCCAAACAAGCTTCAAATATCCATGTCTTCCAACCACAACAGAAAGCCCAATGACTGCAGGATCTTGGCTGTGACATCCTTGAGTCACTGTGGCATCACAAGCAGCCATGCCTCAAATGTCCCACTATGTCTGTCACAGCAATATCTTGAAAGGCTGCCAAACACAGCACTAGTGTCTGAGACAGATGTGACCTCGGCAGGTGCTGGGTACCAAGGCTGTGAGCCTTGCTGCAGGGGAGGCCTGGGCTAACTGCCTGGTCCCTGAGGTCCTGGCCGTAATGAAAAAAATCATTCTACTCCATGCTCCTCAAAACAGCGCAACACAGAAAGTGCATCCTTACGCCTCTGGCCTCCAGCTCTGGATCTCTAGCCCTGACCCTGCACTGCAGTCCAGGCGCTGTATGCAGCTGCTTGTGGGACACCCCCATGGAGGAAGAACTGCACGGCCTCCGACAGGCACGAGCTCGGCAGCAAGCAGACACCCCATTCCTACAGGGCTGCGTGCCAGAACGCGCAGTCGTCCTTGGGCCTGCTCTTTCTCCCACAGCCTACCTCCAGGCTTAGGAAAGCAGCTTTATGCCAGTGAGATCCAAGCACCTACTTCTGAGCACTCGCATGGTGGCTCCTGACCCAACACAACCTGCCCTGCTCCACCGTCACTCACATGCCAGCTCGGGGGTTCTGACGCCCTTGCCACAGGGCTCTCTCCCTGTCCTCAGAGTGCCTGCCTGGAGGTCACCCTCAGAAGGCTCCCCAGTGTAAAACAGTAAACTCCCCCTCCACTGCTCCCAGCCTGTCCCCCACTTTCTCCTTGGCACCCTTCTCTTCTAGGGTGCCGAGCACTTAATCTTTGTGCTGCCTGCAGACCCAGACCATAGAAGGTGAACGCTGTGGGGTAGCACTTTTGTCTGTTTTATTCCCAGCTGCCACCCAGCGCCTGATAAGTGTGCAATGCCCCATGCAGAAAGAAAGAAGACACGCTGTAGAACCCACCTCAGCTTTCATGACGGACATCTCTAGGGGTCTGTCGCTGACGGTGACCGACTCCAGCACAGACGACATCCGATGACAGAGGTGTTTGTTCTGGATGGCAAACCTCAGCTCTTCCTTGACAAAGGGTGTCAAGTTAGCAAAATCCTCAAACACCAGTGACCCAGGAGGGGACAGACAGGGGACGATGGCAGAGGCGCTGACTTCCGAGGCAGACACCTGGCCTGGGTGTTGAAGCATCATTTTGCTGAAAGACACATTGAAAGCCAAACTGCTTCAGGGACTCTGGGGGCGGAATCAGGGGAGCCCCAGCACCAGAACCCTGCCCACCCCTCAGCCTCTGTTTGGTTGTCACTTCATGCCATTCTCACCTTGAGTCAAATATACAGTGCAGTGGTGTGGATAAAATACCCAACTGACGCGTGTAAGGGTTGATGTTTAGAGCTATTCTGAACTCTTATAAGAGCTATTAGTTTTGGCTGGTGTGCACATATGCAAACATGGCCTCAGTCCTGAAAGAGGAACTTTAAAAAAAAAAAAGCCAGACCATTCTGTATTCCTGTTTTCAGGCCCTTTTTCTTTTAAAAAAAAAACTTGGTAGGTCCTTGAAATCAAGTTGAACCTATAAGTGGAAATAAAAGCAAGAAGCAGGGACCCTTAATGTTACAAATATATATAGGGGCAGAAGCTTCTCTCCCTGGAAGTTGGACCCAAGTACCAGGAACAAGGAAGGTAACTATAGCTGGTGTTTCTTCATCCACAGTCCTTGGCTGTGGCTGGGATGGCTGGGACTCAGGTCCCAAAGCTACAAGTCAGTGAAACAAAGGACCTCAGGCCTAGGAAGCAAAGCACTAAGACCTGGACATTTGAGGGGGTGGGGCTTAGCCCTGGGTGTAGGAGACCCCGGCCTGCGGCAATGGGGTCCAGGAACAGGCTCAGGCACTGAGGAGCAGGTGACTCAAGCAGAACTCTAGCTCAGAGCCTGCTGTGGCTTTATCTAGAGCCTGGCCAGCGCCGGCTGGATGCTACCCAGCTGAATAAATGAAACAGGGGAGGAGTGGTCAAATCAAATGGCTTCTGAGATCCCATCCACCTGTATCGTTCTAGATCAGTGGACCCAAAGCCATGACAACAAGGAAAATAGAGGTTCCAAGGTCCCTTGTACGTCCCTCCCTGTGGCCTTGGCTATTCTCCACACCCCCTCTTGGCCCTGCAGCTGGGTCCCAGAAGTGATGCGTGGGGGTACTGTCTGGGCAAGCCCACCACTAGAGTATGCTCTTGGTCCAGGGATCTGTGGCCATTGGAAAAGTCCATCCAGACAGGAAGCGCCCCCGCAAATCTCCAACATTTGAGGAGTGTCCCCTTCATATCAGAAACTGGGGTGCACTATATCATCTCATCCTCAGGAGAACCCAGGGGTCGGTTCTTGGCCCTAGTTTACACGTGCACTGAGTGATGTGCAGGCGAGTGAAGCAGTTTGCCTAGAGTCCTAGAGCTAACTCCGGGCAGTGCCAGGATTTGGGACTCTGGCTCCCAAACTCATACTCCTCATTGATACATTGCAAAAACATGTCATTTCACACTACAAAAACAAAACACAGAGCAATTTTGTTGACGTGTGCAGGGGCAAGTTGGAGGCCTAGAACTGAAGTACGAAAGGGGGGCTAAGGAGAGGTTCCTGGGGTGAACATGTCTGCTTCATGAATGGCCTTTCTGTGTTGGGGTGCACGTGTGGGCTGCTGCCTACATTCTGGGAGTGAATTCATTTTTAATTAATCATCTACTTACTGTGTGATACTAGGGAATTTAGCAGGCTCTGAGGTACATCCCCAGTCTTTTAAAACTTGAGAAGCTCTAAATTGCCCTCACTGGCTTCAAACTTGCTGTCCTACCTCAGCCTCCCTTATAGATGGGATTAAGCGTGCGCACCACCACACCTGGCTGGGTATATCTTTAGATGGGCTTTAAAAAAATGTACGATGTTTTCAGACTGGGATCAGAAAATCAAGACTAGAAGACCTCTTAGAGAATGAGTTTTCACTGCACATCCAAGTGGGCTTTTCTGCCATGTAAAAGAGGGCTAGTGACACTGCCCTATGTCCCCATGTGTGAGCTGAGGAAATAATCACTGTGCTCTGAAAGACATTCTTGGGAGTCACTAGGACTCCCAGGGGTCTCTAGCCTAAGGCTCGCCCTGCCACAGGGATCCTGTGAGGTCCAGGTGGAGGAACGGCTGGCTGGTCACCCCCTTTGATCTTAAAAGTTTCTGAATAGACAACTCAGGAAATGAACACAATTCATTCCTTTCCCCAAAGCATCCCAAGTCAGAACCAAAGATCTTCCTCTTCCTTTCCTCCCTTCCTCTCCTCTACAGACTATAACATCTATAATTTTAGGATGCTAGGAGGATTGCATGCAGCTTCTGATGCCAGAGGGTTAAGACTCCTCCATTTGATAATGCTTCTCTCCCTTTCCAACTTGATTCAAAACTCAAGGATGGAACCCAGAGCCACCCGGGGCTGGCCTTTGTCTGGAGGAGTGAATAAGTGTCCTCTAGAGGTAGCCTGAATGACACGGGAGGAAAGTGTATCCATCTCACCACCCAGCTCAGTTTACTAATGAGCCCTCAGGGCTGTGGGCTGCTGTTTGGAACTTTTTTCTCCTTATAAAGTCAGCAGTTCTAAGGAAAGAAACTAAAGAATGTCAGTGGTGTGAAATGTTTTTCTGAAAAGCATCAAGGGAAATAGGAAAGGGAGACCAACTGTGGTGTGCAAATGCTCAGCACCTCTCTGAAGATGAGGCAGCTGTCCATATCATGTTGGGCTTTCTCCAGGCCAGCACTGTTTCCTGGAGTACTTCCTAGTTTGCCCCTTACCCAGCCTCTTACAATGCAATTGAGCCTAGACTCACATTATGTCCCAACCCAGAAACCAAAGTTAAATTTTCAGACAATTTTAGAAAACTCAGATTCTCTGACATCCCCTTCATTGAAGAGAAACAATGTTCTGGGGACTTTCGATGGCTGCCTACATTGACCATAAAATCATTCACATCCATCATGAAAGACACTGCACTCTGCTTCCTCCTCATTATTGCCGATCAGAAATCATGTCATATCACTGGCAATTTCATCACTTTCAGGAAAGTGAAACCTCATGCGTGTATTTCTTTAACTGGAAGTTTAACTCCCAGGCTTTTATTTTCTTGTAACTGCCATGGTTTTGAATTTTCACTTTTAATTTCCATCTCTTCCCAATAATTGCTGCTCACTAACCAACTTAGCATACGAGAGTGACTGTATTGACCTTTTCCTAACTCTTCCTGTTCAGGTCTTTGTCCTAGCCAGTTTGAAAGCTGGAGATAGAAACTAAGGCTTTAAGCTTACTAGCTGAGTGGCACCCCCCCCTCCCCGACCACTGAGGCTCTCTGAGCCCAGGTCCCCTTTCTCTAAAACAAGGTCAGGACTGCCTGCTCCAATGTTCAAAGGGTAAAAACATATGAGATTCACACATGCATCATCACTGTGGCTCTGATTGCCCACCCACTGTGCTGTTCATTGAGTTTGACCCCAACAGTCAGGAATTAACTGGAACCCTTAAGACCTTCAGGTCAGTCTGTTCCAGCCACTGTGTGCTTTGATTAACCCCTCCCTGGCTTCCTAAGACACCAGGTAAACTCCACCTGCTCTCTGCTGACACCAGTCTTTCTCTTTGCTGTTCTGTACGTGAGAGATGACCAGTTCTCACCCCTGAAACTGTTTCTCCCTTGAAGTTTTTGTGGTCTCCTGGCTTGGTCTTCCCTCTTCCCCTAGCAGGACAGCACTCAGAGTCGCAGATCTCATCCCATGCCTGGTCAATTTTTACAAAGAAAGACTCACAGAACACCCACTATTAGAGCCATCCAGGTCAGATCTTCATTTTGCAATTAAGTAAAGGGAGGACCAGGAAAGCAAAATGACTTGCTCAAGGTCATAAGGCCAGAGTGCAGCCCAGTTCATGGCATTCCCATCACAACTGGGATCCAGAGGTCAACCACAGAGGCAACTGAGAAGCCAATAGCCAGGTTGATGGGGGACAATAGTCCCTGGTGCTTTTTAGGGTACCTATCAGAGGAGACTTTGACAGGACAAGGACATGGAGGGCTTATGGAAGAAAAAGGCCAAAAGAGATAGAAATTAGATAATGGCTAAGGGACAAGAAGGAAAGCATAAGAGCACAGCTGCCACTCAGTGGAGCCCGGCAGGGGGCTTTATGTATCTGGAACCATCCAGACAGGGTCAATCTCACCCCTACTGGACCCAGGACACTGACACTACAGCCTGTTTGTGGAAGAGTCACCCTGTGGCATATGGGAAAGGCAACACAAGGACAATCATTAAAGCCTCACCTTAAGTTGGGGACAGAGAAGATGTAACTGCCACCTACACTGACATAGGCACATTATGAGAACACCCAGATGTGCCAGCTCTCAATTTTTTTTTTTTTTTTTTTACCAGCTCCATCAAGATTTGGCAACTTCTTTCTTTGGAACAATGTACGTATGCTCTACAGAAGTTAAGGAAAAGAAAAAGGCTAGGAAGAAACATGGTATGCAAAGCACGTGAAAAGGAGTGCTGACAGAACCAGCGCAATGTGTAGCAAGCCAGGAGAAGACAGACCCACCCCGTGGAACAGTCCCCCTCACCCCAGGGTATCAGAGATTAGCCGGTGACATTAGAGCCCCCCTCATCTATGTCCCCTCAAAGGCTCTTTTCATTCAGTTTTGCCATCTAATGTCTTGGAAACGTTCAGCTAGAAAGGCCCTTTGCTGGTCAGTGGGGTCCACCTGTCCATATTTCCCAGCGGGGATACTGAAGCTCATGGACGGCGGTTCTGTCTAAGCTCGGAGGAGTCCCAGCTCTAGGACAAATCCATTCTCTCTGATGTCTCTATGAGCGTCGTCTCCACACGCTGGGCGCCCCAGCCAGCCCGTGGTGTCTACACCTGCGCAAAGCAGCCAAATCCGCAAACCCGCCAAAAGGAGGGCAGCGCGAGCGCCACAAGTAGCAGAGAAAAGCGCGCGGCGACTGGAACAAGAAGTCCTGGGCCCAAGAGCCCGACGCCAGCAGGGAGCCCTTTCTACCTTCTGTCGCGGGCACCAGCGCTGGACTCCAAATTTATCTCGACTAACCCGCGCTCTCTGCTCCCTAAAGAGCGCTCTGGCCGCGCAGGGCGACCCCCAGCGGCTGCGCCCGCGACCCCAGCTCGCGGGTCCCCTCCCCATTCATTCCCCTCCGCGCCGGGGCAGCGTGTCCAGGAGCTCCGGTCACCGCGCCTCTGGTCGGGAGTGGAGGGTCCCAGACACCAAGTGAAGGATAAAGGGGAACAACGAGCCGGTCGGCCTCGAAAACCCCCGCCACCCACTTCGCTCCCAGTCCCCGCCGCGGTTACGAGAGGGCAGAGCTCGGGGCGGAGCGGGGTGCCCGAAGTCCTCGGTCCTCCGCGATCTTTCGCGCTCCAAGTCAAAAGAGAAAGTTTCATTCTTTCACTTAGCGAGAAACTTTCTGGGGCGCCCATGAGCAGGCGTGGCCAGGATAAGTTCAGCCAGAGCGGTTCTGTCGCCAGAGGCTGGGCGCGCGTGTCGGGGTGGGCGCGGAAGTCGGGGGACAGACGGGTCACTAGGGGCGCGCAAAGGGAACGCACGCTAGGCGCCTGGGCGCGCTCGTGCTCTCGGCTGGCGACGCTCACCTCGAGTCTCCGCGCGGGGTGGCCAGGATCCGGAGGGCGGCCAGGGCAAGCAGGCGCGGGCTGGCTGTCGGTCTGTGCGTCCGTCCGGCGGCGGCGCGGGGAGAGCGCCTTGCAGTGCGCGCCTCGCCGAGAGCGACTGTGGCTCGGAGTGCGTTGCATCACCGTTTTTATAGCTCAGGCTCTGGCCGCGTGCCCCTTTACTCAGGGTTACCAGCCCCAGGCTGACGTAATGCTATTAATAGCTTCCAGGAGAACCGGCTGGGCAGAGCTCTGGAGGGAGGGATGGAGGAGGGGCGAAGGCGGGGCGCGCGAGGGCTGGGGGTGGGGTGGGGCGTTCGGTGATGCAAGCGTGGGGCGGAGCTGGCTGCTGGGCATCCCGCGGACGTTCACACCCGCCCTCCCTCTCGCTCCTTATCCGGCTGGGAGCAGCCCGGGCGCGCCGCCAGATGTGCGTACTCGCCGCTGCGTGTTCCAGGAATGAGCCAATGGTGCCCAAGCCAGCAACATGACTCCACTGCGCTGGCATCTCTCCCTCCGCTAGGTTCGGGTGGGGGGTGGGGATTTGGCGGGGAGGCGGATCCTGGCGGCCACCCAGACTAGGTGAGGCTGGGAAACCGGCACGACCTTTCTCCAAAATGCGTGGTCATTTTCTGGAGCTTCAGGATAGTGTATTCCCCTCGCCACCCCACACGCTCTAGCCACCTCTTTCTCGAGCACGAGGCAAGGTAGGGGCTGTATCGTTTGTCCCCCGGGCGGCCGAGTTGCCCGAAGTCGTCCTGTCGAGAAGCCACTAAGTTCCCCGCTGGTGTGAAGGTGGCCCGGTAACGCGGACGCGGACGCGGTGGCCAGCGCTCCGGAGCTCACACGCTGAGCGCCTCGGGGCCAGCTGGGGAACCCGCGGGCCGTGGGACTTGACGCGGCCGCCGCGTGGGATCATTTATTTTTGTTTTTCAAAACAACCGCAAAGCATTTGAAAATTCACAAGGCGGTTTTCATAGAAAGCAACAAAAGAGTGGAAAGGAGAGACCTGGAGAAATCAGAGGCGCCCAGGAGAGGCTAGGAAATGTGGGAAAGTCTGCTTTGTTCTCACGGGCAGGGGTGGGGCCGGGGTCGCCCAGGTCTCAGTGATCAGGCAAAACCCATCTTCATCCTTCTGCGCTCCGAGAGGATTGGGCTGGGACCGAACGACTCGGGCTGGATAACCTGGTTAGGCATAGGTCCCAACTCGAATGGAGCCCTTCGGCTGAAATACCCTGTGCCCTCAAACTGGGGTACGGAAGGGGCCGGCAGAGGCAGGTCCCGAGTTCGCAGCTGAGGGCTGGACCTGGGTTTCAACGTTTAAAAAATGGTTTTCTGGTTCCAATTCCTTGGCTCCAACTGGGCTGAGGGCAGCAGAATCAAGTCCTTCCCAGTATCCCAAGGATATTTGAATGAGGACGCAAGTGTGGCCCGGGGACTTTCGCACCTGCCTGGGAGGGAGATCTGCCCGCGCTACGTGCTGTAGGGCTCGGCCAAGGGTGGAGACACCTGTTTCCACCTGCCATTTAGAGGGAGGGTATCAAAGGTCACAGTTTGTTAGTTTGGGTGAGAACTAAAGTCTCGGACCCATGTCCCAGCGGCATCGCACCCCGCAGCACCTGAGGAGTGGCTGTAAATACCGTAATGGAGCTAATGGAGCGTCCTGCTAATTCATAGTCCTTTTATTCTCATCCCTTCCCGCGCCCTGGGGAGACAGTTTTGCCTTGGGACAGACATCCACTCTCTGAGCTGCCGTTAAAATCAAGTTCTCCACACTCGGGTTCCTGGCCCCTCTGGCCCCCAGCTCGGAGCTTCGCCCGGGAGCTCCCTCCCCCATTCCCCGGCAGTTTCGGGGCTGGGAAGACCGAGGGGAGGCCCTCGACGTCTACCCTCCCGCCCAGGTCCTCCGGGAAACCCTGGGGTGGCTCATCCCAGGGATCCCCAGGGATCCTGCCCTGATGTATCTTCGACTTCCAGCGGTGTCCTGCTGGAAGCGTGGGGCTTGTGTTTTGCTTTGCCTGTCGCGCTGGTAACCGCTGTCCCCGCCCCACCTCCGTCTCCCACACCCACACCCGGCTCCACACCTCCACGCCCCACCCTGTAGCCCGATGTCGGGCAGGTAAACCCCGGGCGTGTCTGCACAACCACAGCCTGCGGAGCGAGCTCAGGTGGGAAACAGTTTGCATTTCAGTAAAAGTTATTTGGAAAAACAACACCAAAATTAAGTGACCCTAGAGAAAAGCTCTTCACTACTCCTCTGAGCTCCCTGCAGTAATCTTTAACCAGTGTGACAGGTTAAACTGTGATTCTATGAATACACTCAAGCCAGATCGGTGGAGTTTTGATCCTGTCCTCCTGGGAAATTCAGTGTGAGCGTTGAGTAAACAAACGAGCCACATGAGTTCCACATACCCAACTAGAAAAAAAGGTCCTGGAGCCGAGAAGCCTACCCCACACGGTCAGCTCATTTTTACCACTATCGTACCATCGTACTTCCGTATTGCTCTTCTTTCTTTCTGATAATTCTTAGTTTTGATTCAACATGTGGGGCCAGAATGGCAGTGCTGTCGCCTGAGCTTAGCATCCTGTGCCTGTTCACCTGCTGAAGCCCTGGAAGCCACAAGATGCTCAAAGCAAAGTCAGATCACCCCCCACTTGAAAGAAATACCCAAGGAAAACAACCTTCCCCAAACTACCCTCCCCGTATCCCGCGGGAGAGCTGTCGAATGCTAGTCGAACTGGAGAGACAGAGAAGAGCTCCCAACGTCTGAGCCCCAGGAAGGCGTCCTGGGGGTCCGGACAGCGCCACCAGCGCCCCGCGGGCACACTGTCAGTACTGCGCAAGGAAGGGCAAGAAAAGCTCCCTGCGCAGCAAACACTTTCCTCCACAAAGGCAAGAGTGCCTGTCCGGCCTCAGGAGGAAGCCCTGGTTCCGGTTGTTCCGAGAGTTTATGCTTAGCAAGGCGGATTAAGCAGATACTTGACTAGGGTTGACGTTTTACGCTGGAGAACCTCTTGGGGAATCCACGTTCAGATCAGCCTCGGGATGTTTTGCTGAGTGAGATAAGAACTGGAGACTTCATGCTGGGGCATGTGCAGAAGGAAGGAAAATATTAAAAGGGGAGGGAAAGGAACTAGGCAGCTAAAAACAGTCCACTCGTGGCAACCGAATCCAAACATAAAAACATTGTGGGGAGCCAACGGCAAAAAAAGAACGAAAAGAAATTTCACAAGATATTTAAAGATTTTAGCAGTTTCTTTAGTTCAGCGCACAGTCACTTCCCACATTCCTTTCCCCCATTATTCTGTTCTCCCAGGTCCTAAATTGTGTTTACTCACACAGCTCTAAAAATACAAATTAAACACAGGTCAAAATCAGCCAGGGAATAATCCAGGCACCGGCAGCCCTGTCTGCTCGCTCAGCCCCCTCCTTCACCTCAGAAAGGGAAGGGGGAGGATTTTCTTCCTTCTGCTTCTCAAAGTCCACATTTCTACAAAGTCGGCTTCAAGGTGGGGATTACTAACTTAAGAGTCCCCAGAACAGGCACCCTCAGGCACCAGGGAGGTGTCCACAGTAGGCACTGAAGTGTGGAAGGCTCTGTGCTTCTGGTTCGGTGCTGAGCAGCCTTGTCCCCTTGGCAGGTCGTGACACCGCCAGGCTTAGTGTCCTCCACTAATACGTGGCACTGATTATGGGATTGAAGGTGTGGGGCTCAGTAGGATGGGGCATTCAGTAGGTCTACAGCTGTGGTATTATTAATTACAGATCTGGGCAACCCCAGATCTCCTCCAGGGCTGCCTCTGTCCCCCTCATCAGTGGTAAGTAATTGTAGGTGAAGTCAAGAAATATAGAGGAATGACAGTCACCTGGGCACAGGCATGGGGCCCCTGAGGGAGGACAAGGAGAGCAGTCCTGTCCTTCAGCCACAGCAACCCCACTGTTCTGGTGGATTTCCCCCCAAGCACCTGTGGCTCTGGGTTCTGGTTTGGCTCTGGCCCTCTTTTTAAGTTTCCCAACTTTTCCGAAGAGGCTTTTCAGGACCTGAATGAAGAGAGACCCCCCCCCCCCAAAAGCCTGTGGTGACTTCAAGAGCTGGGGAGAAAGAAAGGGTCAGAGGGACGACCATGTGAAGTGGCACGAAGACAGACCCATTTCAGAAACCATCCTCCTCCAAAAAACAAGATAAGAAATGTTGTCAGGCTTGATTCTCAAACACAGCCTGTCCTTTCTCTCCCTTCCTCACTCTGAACAAGTCCAAGAATTTCCACCCACATAGACTTGGTGCCTTGCAAGAGAGGAGGTGGCAGTACCCCAGGCAAGGACTGTATCTTTGGGGATGTCTCCTGCTGTGTATCATCAACAGCCATACACACGTGGTGCCCCAAGGCCACGTCCAGGTAGCAGATATTTCCACTAAAGAGGGCAGATCCTAGAGCCCTGGGAATTTGGGATGACGCGCTGAAAGCTGGGGCTTTGGCAAAGAAGGACCTGGAGACCCGGGAGCTACCCATAGGTGAACCTCCAGCCAACTGAGTGATGGGGCGGGTCCCAAACAAATTGTAGTTTTGTACATTACCAAATGGAATTCTATGACATCAGCTCCCCCAAAGCATTGCTCTAAGAATCAGATGAGATAACAGATGTGATAGGGATTTGAAGATAGTTTTAAAAAAATTTTATATTTGTTTAAAAATTCCTTTGAGGGAACTTTCTTATGATTTTTTTGGCCATTATGAAAATTGGGAAAACAAGCAAGAGGACAAACATTACTCATAATCTCATGCGATTTGCACTTTGATGTTTCCCTCCAGCATTTTGTCTCACGCATGCGATTTAAGAATATGTCTCTAATTCTAGACTGCATGCACCTTTGAAGTTTGCTTTGGACTCACTGCTTTGTTTCCATTGTCTTTCTTTCTGAAAATATAATGTTAGAGTGCTCTGCAAGTTTAAATCTTTGTGATGGGAGAAAGGCATCAAATATCAGCCTTGCTCGGTGGTTTAAATAGAGTTCGAGGTGGGGTCTTGGTTTCTGGCTTTGAGTACTATACAGGGGACAGGGGAGGATGGAGGGACACCAGGGCTGTTCACTTGTTCGCTAATAGTCCAACAATAAATGTATCCTGTGGGCACT